CCTGGGGCCCACAGCCCCCCCCCAAATCCACTGTGGGGTCCCAGGGCCCACAGCCCACCCCCCCAAAGCCACCACTGTGGGGTCCCAGATCCCACAGCCCCCCCCCAAATCCACTGTGGGGTCCCAGGGCCCACAGCCCACCCCCCCAAAGCCACCACTGTGGGGTCCCAGATCCCACAGCCCCCCCCCAAATCCACTGTGGGGTCCCGGGGCCCACAGCTCACCCCCTAAAGCCACTGTGGGGTCCTGGGGCCCACAGCCCATACCCCAAATCCACTGTGGGGTCCCAGGGCCCACAGCCCACCCCCCCAAAGCCACCACTGTGGGGTCCCAGATCCCACAGCCCCCCCCCAAATCCACTGTGGGGTCCCGGGGCCCACAGCTCACCCCCTAAAGCCACTGTGGGGTCCTGGGGCCCACAGCCCATACCCCAAATCCACTGTGGGGTCCCAGGGCCCACAGCTCACCCCCTAAAGCCACTGTGGGGTCCCGGGGCCCACAGCCCATACCCCAAATCCACTGTGGGGTCCCGGGGCTCACAGCTCACCCCCTAAAGCCACTGTGGGGTCCCGGGGCCCACAGTCCAACCCCCCAAATCCACTGTGGGGTCCTGGGGGGGTTTGGGGCATCACTGCAGGCTGGGGAGGGGCTGAGGGGGGTGGGGGGGCTTGGGATGCCCTGGAAGTGCTTGGGATGCCCTGGAAATAGTTGGGATATCCTTGAAGTGCTTGGGATTTCCTGGAAGTGCTTGGGATGCCCTGGAAGTGCTTGGGATTGCCTTAAAGTGCTTGGGATGCCCTGGAAGTGGCTGGGATATCCTTGAAGTGCTTGGGATTTCTTGGAAGTGCTTGGGATTCCCTGGAAGTGCTTGAGATTTCCTGGAAGTGCTTGGGATGCCCTGGCAGTGCTTGGGATTCCCTGAAGGTGCTTCTCCATCCCCCAGATTGCCTGGGAGTGGATCCCGAGGACCCCCAGCCCCCGGCGCTGGACGGCTCCTACAGGAACTTCACCCTCAAATTCCACAAGTAAATCCCCCCCCACTTCCCCAAATCCCTGGGCCAGGGCTTTGTTCCCTTCCCAAAACCCTGCACCAGGGCTTGTTTTCCCATTCCCAGATCCCTGTTGTGTTCTTTCCCCAAATCCCCGTGTTGGGATTTGTGTTCCCTTTCCAAATCCCTGCTGGGCTTTGTTTTCCCATTCCCAAATCCCTGTTGTGTTCCCTCCCCAAATCCCCGTGTTGGGATTTGTGTTCCCTTTCCCCAAATCCCTGTTTTGGGATTTGTGTTCCCTCCCCAAATCCCTGTGCTGGGATTTGTGTTCCCTCCCCAAATCCCTGTTTTGGGATTTGTGTTCCCTTTCCAAATCCCTGTGCTGGGCCTTGTTTTTCCCTTCCAAAATCCCTGTTGTGTTCCCTCCTCAAATCCCTGTGTTGGGATTTGTGTTCCCTTCCCAGATCCCTGTTTTGGGATTTGTGTTCCCTTCCCCAAATCCCCGTGTTGGGATTTGTGTTCCCTTTCCCCAAATCCCTGGTTTGGGATTTGTGTTCCCTTTCCAAATCCCTGTGCTGGGCCTTATTTTCCCATTCCAAAATCCCTGTTGTGTTCCCTCCCCAAATCCCCGTGCTGGGATTTGTGTTCCCTCCCCAAATCCCTGTTTTGGGATTTGTGTTCCCTTCCCAAATCCCTGTGTTGGGGTTTGTTTTCGCTCCCCAAATCCCCACCCCAGAGATTGTTTTCCCTTCCCAAATCCCTGCCCCAGGGATTGTTTTACCCTCCCAAATCCCTGCACCAGGGATTGTTTTCCCTTCCCAAATCCCTTCTCCAGGGATTGTTTTCCCTTCCCCAAATCCCTTGTGCTGGGATTTGTGTTCCCTCCCCAAATCCCTGTGCTGGGATTTGTGTTCCCTCCCCAAATCCCTGTTTTGGGATTTGTTTTCCCTTCCCCAAATCCCTGTTTTGGGATTTGTTTTCCCTTCCCCAAATCCCTGTCCCAGGGATTGTTTCCCTTCCCACAAACCCCACTGAATTCCCGTGGCGTTCCTCAGCCCGTGTCCCAACCCCTGGAGCTCCAGGCACTGCTTTTCCAGAGGATCCAACCTCCCCTTGCTCCAGGCACCGCTTTTCCAGAGGATCCAACCTCCCCTTGGAGCCGAATCCATCGGTGCCGGGGCCGGTCGGGCGGGAGAAGCAGGAACGCCTTTCCTGGGGCTGGAATCCCCCCGAGGGAGGGGTTTCCCCTCTCTGGGGGTCGTGGGGCCGTTCTTCGGGATCTGGGGGGGGTGTGAGACCCCCTGGAAAAGGCCGGGATGAGGATTAAGGGCCGTCCCCTCCCTCAGGCTCATCAACGTCACCATCCGGTTCCAGCTGAAGGCCATCAACGTGCAGCCCGTGCTCAGCAACGACATCCCCGACTGCTACACCTTCACCGTCACCGTGAGCCACGCCAGGGGGGCTTGGGTGACCCTCGGGTGGCCCTTGAGTGTCCTCTGGCCCCCTTGGGTGTCCCTCGGGTGTCCCTTGGGTGTCCCTCTGTCCCTCTTGTGTCCTCTGTCCCCCTCATGTGTCCCTCTGGCCCTCTTGTGTGTCCCTCGGGTGTCCCTCTGGCCCTCTTGGGTGTCCCTCGGGTGTCCCTCTGGTCCCCTTGGGTGTCCCTCGGGTGTCCCTCGGGTGTCCCTCTGGCCCCCTTGTGTGTCCCTTGGGTGTCCTCCTCGGGTGTCCCTCTGTGCCCCTTGGGTCCTCTGTCCCCCTCAGATGTCCCTCTGACCCCCTTGGGTGTCCCTCTGTCCCTCTTGTGTCCTCTGTCCCCCTCAGGTGTCCCTCGGGTGTCCCTCTGTCCGTCTTGTGTCCTCTGTCCCCCTCGGCTGTCCCCTTGTGTGTCCCCCTTAGGTGGCCCTCATGTGTTCCTTGTCCCCCTTGTGTCCTCTGTCCCCCTTGTGTGTCCCTCGGGTGTCCCTCTTGTGTCCTCTGTCCCCCTCCTGTGTCCCCCTCATGTGTCCCCCTTGTGTGTCCTCTGTCCTTCGTGTGTCCCTCTGTCTCCCTTGTGTCCTCTGTCCCTCTTGTGTGTCCCTCGGGTGTCCCTTGGGTGTCCCTCTGTCCCTCTTGTGTCCTCTGGCCCTGTTGTATGTCCCTCTGTCCCCCTCATGTGTCCCTCTGTCCCCCTCATGTGTCCCTCTGTCCCCCTTGGGTGTCCCTCTGTCCCCCTCTGTCCCCCTCGTGTGTCCTTCATGTGTCCCTCTGTCCCTCNGTGTCCCTCTGTCCCCCTCGTGTGTCCCTCGTGTGTCCTTCATGTGTCCCTCTGTCCCTCTTGTGTCCCTCTGACCCCCTCGGGTGTCCCTCTGTCCCTCTTGTGTCCTCTGTCCCTCTTGTGTGTCCCTTGGGTGGCCCCCTCAGGTGTCCCTTGTGTCCCCCTTGAGTGTCCTCTGTCCCCTTTGGGTGTCCCTCAAGTGTCCCCTTGTGTCCTCTGTCCCTGTTGTGTGTCCCTCAGGTGGCCCCTTCGAATGTCCCTCTGTCCCCCTTGTGTCCTCTGTCCACCTCGTGTATCCCTCTGTCCCTCTTGTGGCCTTTGTCCCTCTTGTGTCCCCCTCGGGTGTCCTCTGTCCCTCTTGTGTCCTTTGTCCCCCTCGGGTGTCCCTCTGTCCCCCTCGGGTGTCCTCTGTACCCCTTGTGTCCTCTGTCCCCCTCGAGTGTCCCTCTGTCCCCCTCGAGTGTCCCTCTGTCCCCCTCGGGTGTCCCTCTGCACCCCTTGTGTCCTCTGTGCCTCTTGTGTCCTCTGTCCCCCTCGGGTGTCTCTCAAGTGTCCCTCGAGTGTCCCTCTGTCCCCCTCGGGTGTCCTCTGTCCCCCTTGTGTCCTCTGTCCCCCCTGGGGTGTCTCTCAAGTGTCCCTCGGGTGTCCCTCTGTCCCTCTTGTGTCCCTCTGTCCCCCTCAGGTGTCCCTCGTGTCCCCATCAGGTGTCCCTCTGTCCCTCTTGTGTCCCTCTGTCCCCCTCGTGTGTCCCTCGTGTGTCCTTCATGTGTCCCTCTGTCCCTCACATGTCCCTCTGTCCCTTGGGTCCCTCTGTCCCTCACATGTCCCTCTGTCCCTCACATGTCCCTCTGTCCCTCATGCCCCTGGTGTCCCTCGGAGGGATGGGGACAGCCCCCGCAGGGCTCCCTGGATCTCTCAGGATGGTGACTGTCCCTTGTCCCCCTGTCCCCAGGGTGGTGACTGTCCCTTGTCCCCGTGTCCCCAGAGTGGGGACTGTGACTGTCCCTTGTCCCCCGGGTGATGACTGTGACTGTCCCCGTGTCCCCAGGGTGGTGACTGTCCCCTTGTCCCCGTGTCCCCAGATCACCTTTGACAACCGCCCTCACAGCGGGCGGGTGCGGATCCGCCTGGAGAACCACGCGGACATCCGGGAGTGCAGGGACCCCGCCGTCTATGGCAGAGGTGGGACAGGGTGGCTCCTGGCCCCAGGGGTGGCTCCTGGCCCCTGAGAATGGCTCCTGTCCCCAGGGGTGGCTCCTGTCCCTGTGGGTGACTCCTGTCCCCTGGGGGTGGCTCCTGGCCCCTGGGATGGCTCCTGGCCCCTGGGATGGCTCCTGTCCCCTGAGAATGGTTCCTGTCCCCATGGGTGGCTCCTGGCCCCTGGGGTGGCTCCTGGCCCCAAGGGTGACTCCTGTTTCCTGCGGTTGGCTCCTGTCCCCTGGGGTGGCTCCTGGCCCCTGGGGTGGCTCCTGTTTCCTGCGGTTGGCTCCTGTCCCCTGGGATGGCTCCTGTCCCCTGGGGATGGCTCCTGTCCCCTGAGAATGGCTCCTGTCCCCAGGAGGTGACTCCTGTCCCTGTGGGTGGCTCCTGTCCCCAGGGGTGGCTCCTGTCCCCATGGGTGACTCCTGTCCCCAGGAGGTGACTCCTGTCCCCAGGAGGTGGCTCCTGTCCCCTGGGGATGGCTCCTGTCCCCTGAGCATGGCTCCTGTCCCCTGGGGTGACTCCTGTCCCCTGGGGATGGCTCCTGTCCCCAGGGGTGGCTCCTGTCCGCAGGGGTGGCTCCTGTCCCCTGAGAATGGCTCCTGTCCCCAGTGCTGGTTCCTGTCCCCTCAGAATGGCTCCTGTCCCCATGGGTGGCTCCTGTCCCCTGAGAATGGCTCCTGTCCCCATGGGTGGCTCCTGTCCCCAGGGATGGCTCCTGTCCCCTGAGAATGGCTCCTGTCCCTAGGGATGGCTCCTGTCCCCTCAGAATGGCTCCTGTCCCCTGTGGGTGGCTCCTGTCCCCTGAGAATGGCTCCTGTCCCCTGGATGTGAATCCTGTCCCCAGGGGGTGGCTCCTGTCCCTGTGGATGACTCCTGTCCCCAGGGGTGACTCCTGTCCCCTGGGGTGCCTCCTGTCCCCAGGAGGTGACTCCTGTCCCCTGGGGTGGCTCCTGTCCCCTGAGAATGGCTCCTGTCCCCATGGGTGGCTCCTGTCCCCAGAGAATGGCTCCTGTCCCTGTGGGTGACTCCTGTCCCCTGGGGTGACTCCTGTCCCCAGGGGTGGCTCCTGTCCCCAGGAGGTGACTCCTGTCCCCTGGGGTGCCTCCTGTCCCCAGGGGGGGTGACAAGAGGCCATGTGGGGGGCTCAGGGGGTGCCCCAGATTCCGAGCAGCCCCCCCGGTGTCCCGCAGGTGACAATTCCTTCCGGCTGTTCTTCGACGTCGTCGTCATCCTCGTGTGCTCCCTGTCCTTCATCCTCTGCGCCCGCTCCATCATCCGCGGCCTCCTCCTGCAGCTCGTGCGTGGGGGACGGGGGGAGAGGGTGGGAGGGGGTGGGAGGGGGTGGGAAGTGATGGGAAGAGTTGGAAAGTGGTGGGAAGTGATGGGATGGATTGGAAAGTGGTGGGAGGCAGTGGGAGGTGATGGGAAGAGGTGGGAAGAGGTGGGAAGAGCTGGAAAGTGGTGGGAAGTGATGGGAAGGGTTGGAAAGTGGTGGGAAGTGATGGGAAGGGTTGGAAAGTGGTGGGAAGAGTTGGGAAGAGGTGGGAAGAGTTGGGAAGAGGTGGGAAGAGTTGGAAAGTGATGGGAAGGGTTGGAAAGTGGTGGGAAGAGTTGGAAAGTGGTGGGAAGTGATGGGAGGAGGTGGGAAGAGTTGGGAAGTGATGGGAATTGGTGGGAAGAGGTGGGAGGAGGTGGGAAGAGCTGGGAAGTGGTGGGAAGAGTTGGAAAGTGGTGGGAGGAGTTGGGAAGTGATGGGAAGAGGTGAGAAGTGATGGGAGGAGTTGGAAAGCGGTGAGAGGTAGTGAGAAGTGATGGGAAGAGGTGGAAAGTGGTGGGAAGAGGTGGGAGGAGGTGGGAGGAGCTGGGAAGTGGTGGGAAGAGCTGGGAAGTGGTGGGAAGAGGTGGGAGGAGGTGGGAGGAGCTGGGAAGTGGTGGGAAGAGCTGGGAAGTGGTGGGAAGAGGTGGGAGGAGGTGGGAG